AGTTGCCATCAGAAGAAAACGCAAAATTAATTAAAAGAACATAAGGCGCGGATTGACGCTGCTGCCCCAAACAAGAAAAAGAACGAACAAATTACTCCATACGTAAAAGTCTTTTCAGTCCTAGGTACATAATGGATCTTTTCTGTGTCAAGTGTTGATGACATTATTTTCTTTTTCCCTCGCTCCTGAAATATGATGTATCTAATAAAATATGCTGTCATTCAAACGCAAGTACCGACCAAAAAATTCAAGTTTGATCTGATATTTATCAATTTTGCTTCAAGCTGAACCTTTTGAAAATATAATATGTTGAAGAAGCACATATTCTAGGTTTCAGTTTTGCATGGTCAGTACCGGCAGCTGAAAAGGTGCTGTACAACAACATCTTCTTCATTATGTACATTCTAGGGAGCCAGGTAGGTACCTACGTTCTTTAATGTTTTCGATTTTTACATTTTATTGGGTAAATAAAACAAATTTTTATAATAACAGATTCTAATAGCAAATAATAATACTGATACATTTTTGCACATGTAATCCACATTTTAAAAACTAAATTCAAAAATTGAAGGGCTTCAAACTTGAATTAAATAACGAAACCTTATTTGTAAAACAACACAGGAGATTAGGTAGGCACCTGTGACTTCATTTTGTCATGCAATAATTTTTAATTAAACAAATCCCCGAAGTCTAGTACTGTGGATTTCTTAATAAAACATTTACTATCAAACTAAGTAATTACCTAAACACTTAATCATTAATACATTAAATATTAAAAATAATTTATTTTGCTTTTTTTTAGGAACTTATATGTTAAATGTATATTGTCGCTAAACATTATTTACATCGCTTATTATTTTGCTCTACAAAACACTTGATCACATGATATTTACTGGTCATTTTAAAATAAATATTTAACAGGATAGATTGTAAATTATTTTAGGAACTTCACATGTAGATGCTTATTTTATATTTTTTACATTTCTGCCAGAAGACTGTTGACAACAAATAAAATTATATAGGTAATTGGAAAATACTCTAAAGCGAAAAATCATTTTTTTAAAATCTCAATACCGATTGATACCTGGAAGAACACTCATATACATACATCTATACCTCAGAGGTAAATTGTATTAAGTCATAATATTATAATTCAATATACTAAGACACTTAGTGATTCTAGTACAATTTACTTTAAGTCTGGTGAGTCACTTGATACAGGTTCCAACTGGGTATTTCGGTTGTCTTAAACACTAGGTGTATGAAATTTTTTCCGGAGGTCAAGTAATTTATAGAAGAAGTATTCAGCTAAAAACCCATTTTGGAAAAAAAAGTGACTTAAACAGTTTACCTATGAGGTACAGACATGTATTTTAAAATTGAATTGAATTTATTGCTTGTTGGTATACCTAGATGCTTTTTTATGTGATATGTTTGAAATCTTTATCATTTATGATAAAAATATCCCACTAAACATGTAATGTAAAAATTTGTCGGCATTATTGTATTGACCTTACTTTAGAAAATTCATTAGGTAATGTGACGATAAGCTATCTAAAATATTACTTATCCAATGTAAAAGGATATAAATTTGATATAACTTCAATAAAGAAACATTCGTTTTAGTTATTAAGTAAATGTTGTAGTAGATACAATAATGTATTACCTACATTCTAAACATTATAAAATGTGATTAAAGCAAATATTATAACAATGTTATAAAATGTAACTTTTCTCAACTCTGTCGCTTCAATGTTGCGGAAATATTTACGTTTGTAACATTAAAAAAATATAACAAAATAAATGGTTGCATAAATATTATAAGCTCAACTTTTCTTAAAACTGTCGCTGTAATGTTGCAGATACCTTTACATGCCTACGTTAACAGTTTCAAGGATAAAAAACGTTACCTAAATATTTCAACATAAACTTTGGAATAAGAAACATAAATTTTCTCAATGTTGCATAAAACTTGCAGATAGATTTTATTTGCAATAGGTATGCTGTCTTTGTCTCTGTCATGCAAAAATATATTTGACTGACAAAGACGGGACAATTGTTTGGGAATTCGGAACGGCGCAGACGCACCACCCATTTGTTGTTGACCTGAGTTGTTGACGCCACGCAGACGACGCTTTGTTTTTCTTGGCTTGACAAATAATAACAGGACGAAAGAGTTCATCAAGATCTTGAGATGTTGGGAGAGGAAGAGAATAAAGCTAATGTAAGATTTTACCATTTTGATTTTTTTGTGATTTTTTAATACTTTAAATTTTTAATTTTAGGTGGCTTTTTACAATACCTATGTTGGAGGAATCGAGGCCTGTGTGATAAGATCAATTGGAAATTGGAAGTTTATTAACTAACCATTATTGTGCCCCGGTCTGTAGTTGGACTTGCAGAAAAGGGAATTTAAAAATTAAGGATCTTGCATTAATGCAAATCCTCACGATATAATAAATATCTATCATATACCGGGTGACCACGAGATTACTGACCAAGCTCTAGTTCAGGCATGAATATCAATATCGATTTCAAGTTTTGAGGATGTATATTATTGATATCGATGCAGAATTTCGCTATAAAAACAATCGACTATCGCTTTTGGTTTGACCGCAAGTGCCATCAACTTCTTTATTTCAACTAGATCACCTCTATATTATTACATTTTTGGATTCTATGAGAAATTCTAAGCATATTTTATGTATAATATCCTATACCTAACTTTAAGAGTTTTCAAGAAAATCGCGATTGAAAATGTCAAAAAATAATTTTTATTTTAGTTTTGACAGCAAACAATGGAAAGAAGGTTACGATATTTTTAAATCATTTTAGAAGCACTAAAGGGTCCCACAACAAAAATAAAACTTCCTGTTCAATCGAAGGTTTTCGGTCGATCTACTTTTGAGGTTATGTTACTGCAATAATTTCAATGGTATACCATAGTTAGAACTAAAAATTCGTATTCTAAGAACAATTTTGAATCTTTTTGTGTACGCTTTCCTATACCTAAAGTCTACTGTTTTTGAGATATTTGACACTTGATGTAAGGATGTCTTTGGAACAACGAATACCAAAAACAGTATTAACAGCATTAATTTTAATCCTTTTTATAAGTTTATTTAAATAGATCACACAGAATGCAGTTTGAAAGATAAGTCTCATTTGTTGTGTTCCTTGAATCCCGATTTGCACTGTTACCCAAAGGTCGCAAATAGTCCAAGAAGTTAGGGACGCAAACGTGAACAATACAAACGTGAACAATACTGTAAAATATCTCAAAAACAGTAGACTTTAGGTATAGGAAAGCGTATACAAAAAAGATTCAAAATTGTTCCTAGAATACGAATTTTCAGTTCTAAGTATGGGATACCATTGAAATTATTGCAGTAACATAACCTCAAAAGTAGACTGACCGAAAACCTTCGATTGAACCGGAACTGATATTTTTGTGGTGGGACCCTTTAGTGCTTCTAGAATGAGTTAAAAATACCGTAAAAGCTTCAACCTTCTTTCCATTGTTTGCTGTCAAAACTAAAATAAAAATTATTTTTTGACATTTTCAATCGCGATTTTCTTGAAAACTGTTTAAGTTCGGTATAGGATATTATACATAAAATATGCTTAGAATTTCTCATAGAATCCAAAAATGTTATAATATAGGGGGTGATCTAGTTGAAATAAAGAAGTTGATGGCACTTGCGGTCAAACCAAAAGCGATAGTCGATTGTTTTTATAGCGAAATTCTGCATCGATATCAATAATATACATCCTCAAAACTTGAAATCGATATTGATATTCATGCCTGAACTAGAGCTTGGTCAGTAATCTCGTGGTCACCCAGTATACAATATTTCATTATGTAAATCTCTGTAAAGTACCAATAAAAATATTGCAACTGTAATATTTATCTAACCTTATAAACAACGCTAAATGCAATAATTTTCTGTAAGCTAGCATTTTTAATGTTACAAACGTAATTTATTTTTTATGAAAATACAAGATTGAGGCTATATTGCAGAAAAGCTTATTTTGTAAACATTGCATTTGTGAATATTAGAATAAGTCCGTTTCAGTAATTGCAGCAACCTTGCACTTATATAGCAGCAATAAAAAATTAAATATTACAATATTACCTAGAAACATTACTAAAATATTAAAGCAATATTACATTGCTTAGTGGGATGTTATGTTTTTAAAGTTAGGTATCTTTGTATTTGGTTGTCAGTGACAACATGCAGTTTTTTTTTAGAGTTGCACCCTATTCTTTTAAGACATACAAAGATAAAGCTTCCCATCGAGATTATATTTTTCACTATAGTTTTGACATAGCTGAACTATGAGCTTGTTTCAACACACAAGAAAACCATACATTAAATATCGTATTTTTCGATTAGGTAGGTAATAGAACAGATAAGTGAAGTGACTGGAGTTGTCCCATCCATCTTTGTATTTTACAGTTTCTATGCCAATTAAAATAAAAAATACTTATAATTAAATAACAATCAAATTATTGATGGGTGAATAAATTACGCAGATAAACTTGAAGGCTCCCCCTTCCCGCTTATAGAACATTTTGTTTTATGTTTAATTCATTTTTGTAGGAAGGTATTATGATAACAAACTGTCGAATAGTAGGTTGCCATTAAGCAGCCATAACCCAGCCTCGTTTTGCTGGGTAGTAGGTACCTGCGTCTCTAATAGTTAAGTACATATAGGCTTGTAAGGTGGATTTTTATAATTTGTTTTTCACATCAAACTGTTGTTTACTCAGTTTTACAAAAATTAAGGTGGGAAGAGCACCTTAAGTTGAAAATAGAATGGTGGCGCAACAACTTCCTTGACTTTTCAATATCTAGAATATACCTAGTAGTTACAAAAAATCACACCAATTTATTTGTGAACTAAAATGTCCCTCTTATATTTATTTTATTAAATAAAAGGTAATAAATGTGCCCCCAGTACTATTGCACTTGTGTTGCAATATAACCTCATTTTAGCTAAGGTGTATCTCGGTCAGCCGATTCGGATCGCCCCATTGAAGGATGGGTTCTTTTGGGCGGTGGTTGCAGGGGAAAGAGTTGCCTTTCTGATCCATGCCAGAAAGGCGAACGTTCTAGTTCCTCCATTGATCCTGTTGTCACAGGAGTACCACTTATCGAAGGTACGTACTGCTCCGGTGTCCAGTCGAAAGAAAATGCACCTCCAGCATGCACACTGGGTGTTGCTGTAGGAGTAGGCGGAGTACTGCCAACGTAGGGACTCAGTTCTTGATGGCATAAATCAGGCACTTTCTGTAAGGTGTCGGACCAAGGTGGGCTAGGATTCCACTGTTCTATAAGATCGTGAGGATCGACTTTCAAGAGCGTTCTCGGTCGGTCTGGTATATGGGAAATAACTAATAAACCATCACCTCCTCCGCCAGCATCAGTTTCCGTAGCTATTCCCACATCTAGTTCCAAAGTATTTAAGTTCTTAGGTTTTCTTTTGCCGTAACTATAATCTACTGGTTCAGATTCTGCTCTGCGGTGATGATGATGGTGGTGGTGGTGATGGTGGTGATGTTGGTTATGATGGGCATGCGTGGCAGCTCCAACATGATGCGTTGTCAATTGCGTATGCAAAGAGACCGGCATGGCAGCTAGATGCGGATGATAAGATGTCACATCATGATGGCTAGTTGTATATTCAGACGCACTATGACCACTATGTTCTGGATAATATAGAAGTCTGGAAGCAGGATGGGATCCATCATAAGCTAATCCATAATGAAGCTTATTTTGTACAGAATAGTAATGATACAACCACCCATTGTTGCGCATGACCGCAGCTTCAGCTTCTGAGAGCACCTGGTTGGTACAAACGATTACTGGTTGCTGATTACTCTCGGAACTTTCTTTTACTTGAAGTACGCAATGCATCCAAAGCCAATCACCAGAACGGCGTTGAATTTGAGCCAATAATATACAAGACCGTTCTTGCTCTGATTGTGTTACTGAAACAGAAATTGTAACATTAATTAGCATATATTTTAAACACAAAATATTGCTTACTTAATCTATGTTTTGTTTGAGCTTCCCGGGTGGAATCCCAATGAAGAAGACGGTACCATGATACTCCTTGTAGTTCAGATCGGGGAAATCCAAGGTAAAATTCCCCACTAAAATAAAAATATGATGATAAGGAATAAGTTCCTGATTATACAGAGATTTTTTTAATAAGTGAAAGGTTAAACTGGAATAATAACAGTTACGTGGCTTTTTTTGTACCTCTTCTATGATTTACCACTTATAAGCAGGTATATGAGGATTTCTAGTTTTCAGCCAACTCCTCCGATAGGTTTTCCGTTTTTTTTTATTATTAGACAAAATATCTGGCGAATAAGGCAAATTTTTATCTTTTGTCTTGAGAGTACAAAAAAGAGAAACGCAATCCAAACGTAGTGTAGTACTAATAGTCCCAGTCACTAGAAATGTATGTTTGCCTTACAGAAGGTGGGATAGAAACCTTTTGGAACATGATTAAAAATCCAAGTTTACTTTGATCGGTTAAAGGTTGCAAAAAGAACAAAACAAAAAAAAAAAACAATCCAAAATTAGTCAGTAGTAATTTTTTCCTCATAAAAGGTGAGGTAGAAACCTTTTCGAAGAGGTCCTTCAGATTTACACCTTATGTCATGAATAAATATCCAAGTTTTCGATTATGGGGAAGGAAAACGTGAGCCGACATTAGGATGGAAGGTGCACTTTGTTACCGAGCAAGGAAAAAAAAAACTTCTTATAAGCTTTTTTTGTCTGATTATTAACGAAAGCGGTAGAAAAATGAGGATTTCGAAAAAGAATATGTCAGTTCCTAATTTTTCTAATATATGAATATATAATTAGGTACTTCTGGATTATTATTACTTATTCGTGGCCGTGTGATAAGTACACCGTAGTCGCATTGTGCATTTCAGGAATGATATGTTTGTACAACGTTTGCGACGTCATTGAAGAAGGTGATAAAATCCAAGTAATATGTCGATAAGGCTTGAAGTAACACTGGAGATGATCGAGATTTAAAAAAAAATTGATTGGATTCCTTCGTTTTCATGAGCACTGGAGTTATTGAAAATAAAAAGATAAGCTGTCTTTTTTTCCAGAGGACAATCTACCTTGGCGATGTCGAACATGGTTATCATTCATGTATGAAAGTTTTGAGTCCTACTAAATTCAAATGCATGGCAGCCGGTGAAAAAACAATGTTTATCAACCCATTAATGGTGTAGGTAATACTAGAAAATAGGTATTGCGAAAAAGTCTGACGACGTGTTGAAGGATTGGAGTATATTAATATGTGAGCTTGCCCTATTTTCTTTTGTCGACCTTCGCGAAAGAAGGGCAAAGCTACTAGAAGACCATATTCCGCAAGGAGAAACAGCTGAAAATATTTTGATTCTGTATGTGATTAGTGGTCGCGAAACGATCTCTTTTTGTCTTGAACCAAGAAAATGTATAGCTTTGCTAGCTTGTCCAAAACACACAATAATCAATGTCATCATTAGTGATAATTGTGATAGAGAAGTTTTGGGTCAAGGAAGAAGTGGAATAAAACTTCCTTAAATACAAATTCGCCGACGTTTCGAATGGTTTGTATGTTGATGACATGGAAGAAGAATCCTTGGAAGAGCTCTGCTACCATCGTTTCGTAGAATCAACAACGGAAAATGTGTAAACTCGAAAAATTGATTTCTAGATTTGCTCAGTTGCCATTTTGTCGCCAACTGTTACAGAGTTACTTTAAAAACATCCTTTTTTTTGCATTGTTGATCCATTTTGCCTTTCCTCTTCATCGAGGTTGAAAACTTTGATTTTTGTTCATGGGCCAGATCAATACAACCTCTTGTAGGCCAAATGCTTATTTTGGTCCCATAAGTATAGTTCTACTCCAAAATGTCAAAAAACAATTATTTTGCAATGTATGAGCCATCTTGTAGGATCAAGCGTTTTTCTCAACTAGAGGGCAAAGAAAATACATACGACAAGCCTAATGCATCTGAATGCGCCATTTGAAAAAATGGCATCTATTTGAAACTTAGAAAGTTTGAAAAAATAGAATAAGTTAGTTCTGAGATGAACTACTCATTGACATATATAAGTGCGAGCAGCCTTTGAGATACAACTTCACACAAAAGCTTAGATATTCTTATAATTTTAGAGGTTCTCCGATTTTATCTAATGGGACCAGGAAACGTGGAGCCTAAATTCAGGGAATGCTTGGTAATTTTTTTTTTAAATATCTATAGAAGCGAATCGAAAAATAAATAGGGTGGTCGAAAAAAAACCGGAATTTTCGTTTGAGCTGTAACTTTTTTTGTTGTTGACCAGTTTTTTATTGTTTTGGCTTGTTTGAAAGAGAAATAAACAGGCTAACCAATCAAAGTGGAACTTTTGACATTTGCGAAAGATTCAAAATGGCGGACTTCTTCATAAATTACCTAGTTTTGGATAGCGCGGGAACTTTTTGTGACCCCTTGTATAACTTTTTTCAATAAATTCTTAAAGTCCGTCATTTTGCGAACATTTTAAGACCTCGGCACGAAAAATCGATTAAAATCTAAGTGACATATTGAAATTTTTTTGATATAAAATTTCAACTTTTCATATCCAAACTAGGTAATTTTTGAAGAAGTCCGCCATTCTGAATTTTTCTCAAATGTCAAAAGTTTCACTTTGATTCGTTAGCCTGTTCAATTCTTTTTCAAACAAGCCTAAAGGAAAAAAGTTACAGCTCATGAACAAAATTCCGTTTTTATTTTGGACCACCCTATATAATCACAGAAGGCTAGTAGTCTGAAACGATAAACAACAAAATACAAATTGCCGTATTCCATATAAACGACATAAATGGTTTTTAAAAATGCTTATGTATAGAAATCTTACATGGAGAATATTATTTTTTACAAATCAGTTACATAATTTAATTTGAAAAAGCAGATCTTGATATCCTGTTCTGCACGATCCAGTTTTTAAAATTTCTGTGGGGTAATGCAGTATCAGAGCATTAAGTTGTCGATTTAAGAAGTGGTCTGTAATAGGTATGTGCTATATGCGTCCACAGCGGGCCATGCGGGCACGGCTTTGTTTTTCTTCTGCCATAAATCAACGTCGTCGTGAGCTGGGCCGGACCATAGGGTCACCAGGTCGCGGGATACCTGGTGACATCTGCCGCACCGCGCACTAAATCATTGGACATAGATGACGCATTACCATTGCGGCTTTCATTGATTTTCAGAGATTTAAAAAAAAATGGTGTACCGCTAGTTGTACAGTTTCATATTTTTTTCAGCCGTGTCTAGTAACGACAAAGTACAAATAAATTGATTAATTTACTGTAAGTCTATATGGACAGGAAGTTTCCAAAACAACAACTTGCTTTGATAAAAGCACACTGATGTAGAATTATCAAACTATTGTTTTGTAATCAAGGTTTAGAATTATTTAGGCAGTTATCAACATAGGCACATTGTTTTAGTTAGGTATTGACAAATAGGTTGATAATTATCAAAATCTACAACATTTCAACCCTATATGTAGTATAGGTAAGTCTATGGTATAGGTCATTATTTATAAAAAAATAATGTAATAAAACCCATCCTTTCTTAGTTTCTGCATTAATCAATAAATTTCATATCTTAAAGGCAAAGGATTCCATCTTTACTTATTAGGACTTGTGATGTAATACTTACTTATTGTCTATGTGTATAAACCTCATATCCATTGAATGTATAGATGTAAATACGTTGGTCGCTCCTTGAACTACACATTCTCTAGTTTCTGGCATGGCAACTGGGGTACACGTTGCTAAAAATACTGGTTCGTTTCTACTGCATAACGGCAAAAATGATAGGTAGCGGCCTTGAACTAATACAACCTAAAAAATAAAAGTCTATCTTGAATAAACATTGCATGGGAATCACTCACGACCTTGCACTCCATCTGATCGAACGAATGAAAAGAATGATGTTGTCGCGAAACTACCCTTACGAAACTGATGAAACTTCAGAAAATAGCTTTGACGTGTCTCTGCTGAGATGTCGATGCAGTATTTGAAATATCAACATGCTAAGGAGCTCTGTTTCGCTGTCGTATGTTTATCAGTGTCTCATTTCTAATTATTATTTTAAACCCAAGTGATCAAATGTAGTTGACGAATAAAGATTGATTTTGTACAACAATCCACGTGTTAGAATTACAGCGTAAAAAATTGCACGGATGCCAATAAAGCAAGATTTCAGATCTTTGACAAAACCTTAGAGCAGGTGAAGTGCTGTCCTACGGACATAAGGAGTAGGAACGGGCCATTCTGCTTATGAAACTAAAGTGAAGCCAAGTTTTTGGCAGGTGTTTGGCACCAAATACAGGTAAAGCATTGAATTGCCTATACTGCCATTCCTGAAAAAAAACCGGCTTCATTTTCCAACTTCATGTCACTACTTCTTTACCTTTACCTGCTCTAAGGACAAAACCTATCCGAGTATTAAGAACCAGAGAAAATTCGCGACTTAAGTGAAGAGATTTGAGTAGACTCCTATTTCGCCTTGTTGTGTCTTCATGAATTCAATGTGATGTGATGCTACTCAATCACTTTGTGTCAAATTACCCGCTGAATATCGCGGATGGTTTGTCGACTTTAAAAAATCGAAGTGGCGCACGGAGGACGCTTTGCCTCAAAAATAAACTGAAATTTTGTTGGAAAATGCCAGAATTGATTCGAGTTTGAAAAAAATATGATCGACACAAACACAATTGTAGAAAATGGAATCGGACTCACATTTGCAGAGGAAGCAGCGGCACCCGGGAAATTTGACGAGCTTTTCAATGCCGGCGCTTCATTCGCCCATAAAAGCGATGACTGTAGGTCAATTATGTCTGTGATATTTGACGCTAGCAGCCACCGTTAGAGCATAGGATGAAAAGTGGCAGCCTGCCATCGATTGAAACTGTCCATAAAAGCTATAGGTGAAGTACCGCCCCAAATTGCAATTGTTAACAATAAATAACACATAAGGCAGGGTGTAAGGGTTTTGGCTGGAAGGCGATTAGTATTGTTCGTTCAGTACAAATCACATAAAGAAGCGATCCTCCCAAATTTTTGCATTGGGCTCCCGCACTTTATTAGCAATGAGACACAAATTACGACAAAACTGGCACTATCACAAAACTCCGTTACATTCTAAATAAGCTTAACCATTCAAAAAGCTATATCACTTTACCTAACTCAAAACTTTCATCCACGAATGGAAATGCGGTAGTGCTCAATAACCCATTCTATTTTGCGAAACGTCTGTATCTAACACAAATGATCCTTCATCCATGGAATACGCTAAGACTGGAGCAGTAGTCGATGTTTCGGAAGACAGTTGATATTCTGGTATTCAAAGTGAGTCGGAAAACACTTGACAAACTAGTGGTTGTAACTGCAGAGTACTAGAAAGCTCATACAGCCTGGACCTCTTCTAGATCTATCTCTACTCCTTTTGAAGAAACGACATTTCCACATTTTCCTCAAATAAGGCAGACTCCTTTGGATTCAGTTTCAGTTTGGCACCTGGCAAAAACTTTCTACAAATTCGACAGGCGTTCTTCAAAATCTTTGCCAATTACCATGAAATCATCCAAGTAGGTAGCGTGTATTCCAAGTAAGCTCTTGCATCAGTTACCGCACTACCATGGTGCTCAATCTTTCCAGCAGTTTTTCCAGTCTACAGGTAGGAAATGAAAAGATTCTAGGTAATCTACTTCTGATATAGACTCATCTAATACGTCAGTGACTAACTTCTATCTCCAGTTAGGAGTTGCCTATTCCCAACACACATTCAATTTAGTGGCATCTGAAGAGAGCTGTAAACGACTTACTGACCCAGAAGCCTCCAAACTGATGCTGACCAGCCGTACGCATGTGTAAGAGGCAATTTCGTAGAAATTACGTTATAACAATTCTCCATTATGGAGGACACCCGTAGTTCAGAGGCTTTGAAATCAGTGCCGCCAGCGTCTCTCTACACTGTCAAGGTGGCATTTCCCTGAGTCTGGAGCAACTTTCTTCCTGGCACCTTCCAGTCGTCTGAACAAGAACGTCGCCTACAGTTTTTACTGATATGTCCTGCTCAGTCTACTTTATTCGTACCCTAGATCCCGAACGGCGATTTTCTGTCATGCAGCCTTTTGGCATCACCACCATTTGAAAAACATTGTGGATATGCCAACCAGACCTTCCTTTCGATGTTACTACTAAATTTTCGCAGCGTCTTCGATGATACTGGCACTCTGGGTCTGACACGTACACTGTCAGTAATGCTGTTATTTTTTGCTATTCATTTCATCCATTCGCAATACCAGCGGCAACAAACTTTCGTTTATAAATGGACCAGGATGTTACTCCGTCCAAAATTGGTGCTTTGACTATGGGCCAGAAAACACGACATATTTATTTTGCTGCTACTTTCGTTGATGGTCTGTCACAATTTCGCCTTTGATTTCTTGTTGGAGCGATCCTATTTCGCCTTCGACTTCGTCTCGGACCGTTCCTTTTTCGATTTCTTTTAAACATATTCTCGAATAGTGTGGAGATTCTATCAGTCTGCAAAATTTTCTGTAGTAGGTCTTGTCTCAGCTATCGATTTTTATTTTCTCTTTTTTTTCCATCTGACTATTTGGCCTCTGCAATTATTATGACCGCGAACACCTGGTCTATTTCCATTTCGATATTCTGTTTCCTTTTATGCACCATAGAAAAAAAATCTCCAGTCGCTCATTCCATTTCTAGTAGGTATTGAATGTTACACATGCGGGGTTTCAGAAAAGTGAGAATACTCTTCCGAACTTTATCTCATTTATTTAACATAAAAATCACGACAGCACTATCACATTTCGCATCACTTAGAAAACTATCTCACTATAACTATAACAACTTACTGTCCGATTATTGACTGCTGTTCAAAACCATCCACCCTGACTAGGCCGACTCCTTCCAAACCACCTTCTGTAATTTTCTAGATAATTCCGTCGTAAAAATTTCCAATCAACGTCATTCCTTGATCGTTTCGTTATTCGCTAGATTATTTCACCAAGAGAAATAAAAGTTAAAGAGCATTCGTTGTTATTTTAAGCGCTAGGGGGTTGATATTTCGTAGTTGAGGACCCGGACTGGGTATCTGACTTAGACAAAAAGTAAATTTGGCAACGTCGCACTTCGTATGATTTATAACATAACCTTGTTCTTTTTAATACCGGTATACCTATACATACCTACGTCTTGGAGATGGAAAATTACATAATATTTATCTGAATCAGACTTTAAAGAAATCTGTGCCTACCCTGTTGCCCTTTAGAGGCCATTAAAACGCAAATATGCTAACTATAAACATTGGGGTAGGTTCACTTTCATGTCGTTTCGGCCCACACCTTAGGTAGTGTAATTCCCAGTAAATACGATTATCAATGTCTCCTCCAAGACAGAACAGTATTCAGGAACACTTTGTGACTGACAAGTTTGTCGATAGCATCAATGAGATCGAACTTATTTATGTGTGTGTTAGATGAGTTTTTCATTTCATATATAAATTGAGTTGAATTTGTATATAGATGGCAGATAATGTGATTTATCGAATTTAGGCAAAATATTATAAGAACACCGAGTTGTTCTAGATTCAATAGGAACTCAAATCTGAAACCAAATTCACTTCTTTTTAACATTAAGTTGATCGCATCATCAAACCAAACAACAATTTAGTTAATTTTTTACGCCTCAATAAAGGCCATAGTGTCATTCAAAACTTTGGTTACCTTAACCAGAGATTAGAATCGCTAACCGGCGTTGAAAGTACTGGCACTTAGCCTAATTAACCTTGTAACCTGAGTTAGAAAGGTGCATTCATACGTACACCTTTTTCAACGAGAGTAAGTACCATCCTTCTAGGAACGGATAACGGTCTTAAGTGTGATCGATTTATTTTGGCTCACCGTATACTACATCGCGGTACCGTGGTCCTTGGTGTGGGTGGAATCGGTACTGTTCTTTCTGCTACTCTCGCTCGATCGTAGAAGTGGGGGAGTTAGGGTACTCGAGGGGCGCGGGACGCTAAGCGACCTGCACACCCGCTGAGGTTACTGCATAGTGAAAGGTAGATCCGGATCGAATCGCGGACGCGAATATACTCATAGCCATGGGCGTAGCACTTAGCTCATCAATTATCTATTTTTATATCTTTAAATATCCTCTTTGTGTTGAACGAGAATTTTTTTCCGTATTTTTAAACCTACTAATTCAGTTAGAAATTCATTAATTTGCCACTGCATAGGTACCACTTGTATGTTTTTTTTTTTTCATATTCTAGAAATTAAACTTAGTTAAACATGATATAATTGCTCAATAAAGATATAAATTATTTTGCGATTAATTGGTTACTAAACGCAAAAAGTAGGTACTTCTTAGTAAATCGCATAAGTCATAATAATGAAATCAGAAACAAAAACAGTAAGAAACTTATAATTATTATAAGTATACCTACTTCTATAATATTTTCTTTTATATTAGACTCTTGATTGTATTTAAAATGCATTGCTTAGAGTAGGGAAGAATTAACTGAAAAATTAACATTTGGTTTTTTGATATCCAGAAGCATTTTGTATAACTTTAAGTTAGGTACCTATGTTTTTATGACATTTCGAAAACTGTGTCGCAGTACTCAAAATAAAATTGGATACATGAAAATATCTGACATCCAAGGAAATGTCTTCCCTAATATCTCCGCCCATGGTTGCGGACATGATAATCCCAAGCATTCCAAAACTGACTCTATCCCATTGTTTGGCCGAATATAAATTTTGTCTTATCACTTACCTCCTTGGGTATACATCTAAGTTTTTTTTTTAATCATAAACTAGAACTCAATGTTCCAAATTTAATTTAATCACATGGTTATTCGTGGGAGCGACGACGACGCGACGTCTAACTCGAAATAAAAACTCTACTTTTACCTAGCAGCTAAAAATTCTAATATTCCTAATATTGTGCTAAATGAATCTTTTATACTATGTAAACTTGCGTGCATAAAAATCGGCCCACTGTTTACTTTTGACTTCAACTATTTTTTTTTAGAAACTATTCGTGAGATTAAAAAAAGAAATATGCCATTTGAGAAACAATTCAATATTATCTAATATGAGTTGAAATTATGTAGGTATTATAATAATAATTAATTATATGAATAGTTTCTAAAAAAAAAAAAAAGTTAGCAGTGGGCCGATTTCTATGCACTTAAGTGTAGTTACTTTATCAGAAATAATTGTATTGTTATTATACCTACTTAGAATGTATACATTTTTGGACTATTACTTACTTTTTGGTCTCCAAATCTCATTTGACGTCTAGCATTTCTTGAAACATTCATTCTACATAAAAATAACCTATTTTCCTCTTGAGGGTTATTGTTAGTTCCTGTATTAACTACTGGCCTTCCTAGTTCACATTGTATGGCTTGATGATCTTGTTTGTCTATGATATCGTAAACACTATCTCCATGTATAAGTAAATCCTCCTGGAAAAGAAAAGTTTTTTTTTTTTGATAAGAAAAACATTTTTTATTTGACTAGGTACCTATCGTGCAAAAGTGTTTTATACTTTCTGGATTTAAAACTTTTCTTGATAGTGGGCAAACCTCATTTTGCCTCAAAATACAAAACATTTTAAACACTTGCATCTAACAACAATAGAAAATTGATAGAAAAATAATATCTGAGAATAATATAATTGTTAATCTTCAAATTTAAAAAGAAAAGTTTTTACCTATATATCTGCAACAAATATAAAGATGTTAAAAGTTAAAAGTAATACAAACCAGACTTTTATGACTATATAACGAGCCATATAATCAGGTGTAAATACAAGTGGATGAGAGAAATTATATCACTTGCTGGTAGGCAGAAATTATTGCTCATAAACATATAATAACTCCTGCTCAATATGTACTATTCTCCGGCGGTGTCATATTGTTAACATTTAACGAGTTTGCTCACAAAGGAGACATATTAATCAACGCAAAACGCTCGGTCATGCTCTTTGATGACATGTAATCTTTCTTCTTTGGTTGTTACCGAAATAAACATACATAAGTAAGGGTATAGAGAGCTTGGAAAATGTTTAAGCCCACTCTTTAGCTTTAGAATAAAGCTGAAAAAGTTAGCTCACCTTCATAATTACACTCACCATGGAATGACCCAGGTACTCTGCAGCATTATCGGATATGTACAATAGTTTGCCGTTTTGTGTCATCATCATTAAAAAACCACTCAAAGCCTGAAACAAAAAAAAAAAAAAAGATTTAATAATGCTTTACTTTTGGCCTAACGGAAGATATTAAATTAAAGTTCACAAGTCATAAATTCCTGGGTTTACGACCGATTTTATTAAAGGGAAACTAGTTTTCTATGCCGACGTTTCGGTTAATTCACTACCATCCAGGGCCGCCGAGAGCTGGGTCGGGCCCCGGTGAAAAAAAAATAACCGCCCCCTTTTTTTAGGTCTTACGGGCGTCGGTAATTTGTCCCTCTACCCCCCCCACCTCTTGTCGGGCCGCCTGGACCATCATCAGGACTCTAAAGTATATAAATCAACATTTAATAGTCGAACAAAAAATCGCTCGGCAATGGCTGCTCTAGATTCTTTTATATTCCAAATTTTTCTAATTGAATAACACACATTATAAACAGAATTACGGTTTTGGTATGGGAAACTGTATTTTTCCGTTATATCAGAATTTTAAGATGTGTGTGTTACAAGATCCGGGTTCCCTTTTTGAAGAAATATGTTGAAGACATTTTGTCTGCAATTTTCCGAAACCATCCAATATCTTTCTTGGATATGAGGAAAATCAGTCCCACTACAGGGTATTTGTTGGCAGAGTTGCACTTTTAACAGAGTTTTTATACAAAAAAAAAATATTATTAAGAACCTTTAGACATCGTGCCCGCCAGCCCGCCAACAATTGCACGAGAAAAAATATTAGGCGAAAGAATCGTTCATTAAAAAAATTATTAAGTAGGTACCCAAAAATAATAATTTAAAACATTTCTAAATGACAATCCCGAAAGAAATCGAAATACTAGGGAAACATTTAGTTTCTCAGATCTCTGTATGTAACAGGGCTGTCAGAAAACCTAGGTCACATTGTCGCTAGGTACTAAAAAAGTCAAATTAGTTTTCAATAACGACATTCCTTCATTCATTCTTTTTTCTACAAAAAAAAAAAACCTTGGATTTGCAGAATTAGTTGTGAAAATTGCAATATGATCATCGGGCGTCTCAATATTAAGGGAGAGATCAAAGAAGAATGGAATATAAAAAGAGTGGACCGACATAATTTTGATTTTGAGAATGCACAAATCTATTCCCATCAACAAAACAATTATTGTCCGAATGTCTTTTTTGAGAAATGCTTCCTATATTAGAATTTTTCTTTAAGTTAACAAGACAACTGTCATTTGAAGTCTTAGAAACGCATATTTTTTATAACTACTTTTTACAGGTAAATAATTGGTAATGGGATTCATTGAAAAGAAACTAGTTCGACACCCGAAACCGGAAACATTCTGCACAAAATGCATGATAAAGAGTAGGTATACTAATGATTGTCTAAAAACTTACATTTGGAAAATTCCTTAAATGAATAAAAACATTTCATCTAAGTTTAAAATGTACTGGCATTTCCAATTCATTACGTTCAAAACTTTAATTTTTTGTGAAAGGAAATTAAAGTCCATGGAATGCTGCTAATTTTTCAACTACAGGTGTTTCTTCGAACGAAGAAACAATTATGTGAAGTTTAGTTTTGCTTATATACAGGGTGTCAATTTGAAAACTTCCCACCCCTATTATCTCGGAGTAGAAAAAATTTCGAAAAAATCCTGAAACACGTCAACTATAATTTGAAGGGGGATGAGTTTTTATGCAAAATTCACCTCCTCTCTTTCAACCCCAGAGCCACCCCCTAGAAAATCTTAAATGGGAAGGGGGATCAAGTGATACATCATTTTGTAGGGTTTTTAATTCCATACATTTTGGTACTAAATTTTAATCTCTAAGTTCAACTGTTTTGGAAATATTGACAGTTGAAATTTGAAAATGAACTTTTTTGCAACTTCAAGAATTTGATCTGTGGTTGAAAATTTGAGTTAAATTTAATCCCCAGTTAAATTCAAAGTTGATGGGAAATGATAGTTTATGAAAACCTAAGATAAGAATGTAAAAACGGTTTTCCTCTAAAATTAACCGTTTAGGTTTTACAGCCTGTCAAAGTTGCAAAAAAGTCAATTTTCAACTGTCATTATTTCCAAAACAGTTGAACTTGGGTATTGAAATTTGGTACCAAAATGTATGGAATAAAAAACCCTGCAAAATGATGTATCACTTGACCCCTCTTCCTATTTAAGATTTTCTAGGGGGTGGCTTTGGGAAATGGGGGGTTGAAAGAGGGGAGGTGATTTTTGCATAAAAACTTATCCCCCTTCAAATTATAGTTGACTTGTTTCAGGGATTTTTTCGAAAATTTTTCTACTCCCAGATAATAGGGGTGAGAAATTTTCAAATTGACACCCTGTATATTTCGCTTTCTTCTCGGATGAAGCATAATGTTTTTGGTTAGACCAAAGATTCTAGTAAGCCATGTCTATAAATAAGATCCTCTTCAAGTTTTTACATTAAACTCTCTTCGGTAAATTGGTTTTCATGGTATTATAAAATGTCCTCTCCGATCTGGGCTTGTATAATTTCAAAGGCTTTACAGTTCACACCTAACACACGAGAAAGATGAATAAAGGCAATTGCGACAAGTACGTTCATCTCAATTTCAGAAATTCACATTTTCTTGGAGCCAGCTATATAAGCATTGTCGAGACTCGAGAGTGGATGTAACAGCCAGATGTAGCTGGTGATCTCCCTCATCTCCCAGCCCTTTACGGCCGATACTGGATATAATCGTCTCCTACTACTGCCCACTCTTTCCTGTTTTGGGCTGCTCGGATCCAATTTTTAGTGACTCTTTTGATGTGTTCTGTACCTACAGGGAGTTGTGGGGTCTGCCAATGCTTCGTTCATCGGCACGTGGTCTCTACTCTAACATCCTTTATGTCCACCTTCCGTTTTCCATTCTAGCCGCGTATCTGGCCCAATTGCATTTAAGCGTGGCACTACGGGTGATAACGTCTGCTGTCTGTTACTCTAGTCTTGTGGAAATTATATTTGTAAAAAGAATTATTGGTCTGTAGTTCTTAGTTCTTCAATTTGGCTCTATCTCTTTCTTCGTAGAGCAGTATCACACAAGTGTTTTACCAGCTGCCCGGTATTGTCTGGATGTTTAAGCAGATATTGTATAAAACCCTTGTGTTTTGGAGCAAATATAGGGGTCTCCTATCTTAATTGCGTCAGTAACCAGTGAGCCCTCTCCAGGTGCCTTATGTTTCTTGATCTTGGGCTTAGAGTAAATTCTAATTCTTCCAGGGAAATTTCTGGAAGTTCCTCCTAACCTTGGCTCACTATGCCTATTTTTTCTGTTAGCATAATCAAGCTCTAAATCCATATTTGCACTTTCTACTGCAGTTTTGTACAGCAGCTGGCAGAAGCCCTTAACAACCTTCAGGATAGCTTCTACTTCTTCTTTTTGTTAGCTTCTAGAGTTTGATCAATTTCTTTTGTGTTGTAAGTTCTGACATTATCTTGTCTGATGGTATTTGACATTTGTTTTTTCTTCTTTCTCGTCAGTGGTGGTCCTGGCTTTCTTGCAAGGCGTTATCATTGAGTCGTTCAAAAAATCAACGTTTTCATATGGGTCCAGGCAGCAGATAAAATTATTTCGTAGCGTTTATACAGACACATAACATAACATAAGAAATTATTTTTAACCATTCAGCTGGTACGTGTACTTATCTAAACTCTACCGAAAACACTATATTTGATCAAAAAAATTATTAATTAATAATTTAGCAGAAACAGAAAATAAATATCGTATTCCAAAAAATTACCAGTAGCTGAAAACAAAATCAAAATATTTTTTTTTTGGTTAGAATGTTCTGTTTACTACTCTGCCACTGCCAACATCAAGGGAGGAGCATGCGCAGATCCGTTTTCACATAAAATAAGCAGAGCTGGGCAGTAGCTAGCTACTAAGTAGTTAAGCTACTAGCTTAGCTACTTTTTTGGTAGCTAATAACTTATTCAAGCTACTTTGAAAAAAAAGTAGCTTGTAGCTGTAGCTTTTGGTAATTTGTTTCAAGTATTCATAAGCTACTGTGGAAAGTAGCTAGCTACTAAAACAAGCTACTTAAGCTACTTTTGGTAGATAGTTAATAGTTATTTAGATATTGATGGCGGAAAGTGTCATTTACCGCCCGAGGGTGTGGTTAACGATACTTAACGCCCAAAATACTTATTACGTTTTATGCGCAGCGGACTCTTCTAGTTTAAAAATGAAATAACTATACCTATAATATAAGGCACGTTTCCACCAACCTATCGCCCGCGTTCGAATTTACCGCTCGATAAAAGTAAGTTTATACTTTAATTGCTCAAGCTACAATTATCATTTTCCGGAGAATTCTTATCCTGCTTTGCTTAGACTAGTTTCTAGTTATCTTTGTAGGTACCTACGTTTTATGTGTCCTATTTTATTCTTGCATTCGCAGATCACTGTGATCAAAGAGAACCTAATAAATTAATGTCCAGTGGTTTTTGACAAAAATATGAATACTACTTCTTAGAGAAAGTTAATATGTTATTTTCGTATGATGATATTATGAAATTAAATTAGGTAAGGTAGTATCTTGATGGTGGCGATTGTGCACGCTTTTTTGTTTTTATCAATTTAACTTTCAAAAAAGTAGCTTAAATAGTAGCTTTCACTAATTCAAAATGTAGTTAAGTTACTAATAGCTTAGCTACTTTTTCAAAGAGGTAGTTGAGCTACTGAGTAACTTAGCTACTTACAATATAAAGTAGCTTGTAGCTTGTAGCTAGCTACTTTTTCCAAGTAGCTTGCCCAGCTCTGAAAATAAGACATAAAAGTTAAAAGTTAACCAACTTTCTTATTTCTTATGTTATGTTATGTTATGTTATTTTCTGTATAAACGCCATAACGGGTTTCCATAAAGTCAACTTGTAGGTGGTAGATGCTTTTTACTCATTGGGCGTCGACCGGTGAGATACCACCATGCCAGAATTGAGTAGCGCAAAGTGGTATCACCACGTTCCGCTACTGCGCTGGCAGTCCGGTTCCAACAATGAGTAACAGATCGCATGATGGCGCC